ATTCCTTCTGAGATTGGTAAGCTTAAACAACTCCAAGGGCTGTATCTAAGTAACAATAAATTGCAGGGACATATTCCAGAGGCGGATGCCATTTATCTAATTTGGTTGATTATTTCTGGATGGTAATGAGCTCTCTGGATTAATTCCAGAATGCTTAGGAAACCTTAGTATGCTACAACATCTTTATTTGGAGGACTGAAAGCCATTGTAGAACTATATCTTTCCAGCAACCACTTTTCAGGAATGATACCAAGCACATCCGGGGAACTCCAAAACCTGCAGTCTCTTGACCTATCGAACAATTCATTTTTTGGCAAAATTCCATTATCCTTTGCCAACTTGATAAGCTTAAAAGACTTGGATTTGTCTTTAAATGTGTTGTCAGGTACTATTCCTAAGTCTTTGGAAAAACTCTCATATCTTAAAAGCATTAATCTTTCAGGTAATGATTTAGAAGGTGAAATACCGAGTGGTGGCGTGTTTGCAAATTCCACTTTGCAGTCATTTCCCGGGAATAAAGGTCTCTGCGGAATGCACATATTGGAGATTCCTTCTTTTGCTATCACAAATCCTGGAAAACAATCAAAGGTTAAGGAGGTTGTGCTAAAAATTGTTACTCCAGTGGTTACTACATCCTTTCTGATATTCTTGTTCGTTTCAATTTGGATAATGAAACGACAGAAGAAAGGACAGTCCAAAGATGTTGAAAAGGTACTGGAGATTATGATTCACCAATTAGTTTCTTATCATGAGATTCAACGAGCAACAAATAATTTTGATGAATCCAATTTAATTGGTGAGGGAAGCTCTAGCTCTGTGTACAAAGGCATTTTATCTAGTGGAACTGCAGTGGCCATAAAGGTTTTGGGTTTGGAAAATGAGCAAGTATGCAAGAGGTTTGATACCGAATGTGAAGTGATGAGAAATGTTAGACACAGAAATCTTGTTCCAGTGATTACTACATGTTCTAGTGACTATATAAGAGCCTTTGTTCTACAATTTATGCCCAATGGAAGACTAGAAAATTGGCTGTACAAAGAAGATCGCCACTTGAACCTTCATCAAAGGGTCACTGTAATGCTTGATGCAGCTATGGCAGTTGAATATCTACATCATGATCATGTCACTCCAATAGTTCATTGCGACCTAAAGCCAGCCAATGTTCTTTTGGATGAAGATATGGTGGCTCATGTTGGTGATTTTGGAATCTCTAAAATTTTAGCCATAAGCAAGTTCATGGCTTATACCGAGGCACTCTTGGATACATTGCACCAGGTATAAGAAAATCTACTCTCATTTGATTTTTCTCTTATCATAATTAAGCCTCTCCAAGTTGTAGAAGTAAAAATAGAATTATTGTTGTATTTCAATTGAGTAACCTTCAATCCTTTTCTAAGAAGATGGCTCGGAGGGAATGGTGTCTGCTAGTGGTGATGTTTATAGCTATGGCATCATGTTGATGGAGGTTTTGACGAAAAGAAGACCAACAGATGAAGACATATGCAATGAAAATCTTGACTTGAGGAAATGGATCACACAATCATTTTCAGGGAGTATGATGGACGTTGTGGATGCCAATATTTTTTGTGAGGAAGAACAAATCACTAGTAAAAGCGAAATCTGCATAGCCTGCATGATAGAATTGTCTTTAGACTGCACAAAGGAAATGCCAGAATCAAGAATAACCATGAAGGATGTAGTCAAGAGGCTTAACAAAATCAAGAATGCATTTCTGGAAATGTAGACGTTAGCATCTCTTCCGATGGTGTTCTTCTCGAGCTGCATGTTAATATGATGCTTTTTGCTTACCTGTAGACATTTACTGTTTGTAGTTCAGAGTATTGCATTTCCTTCATTTTGTGATTTCAGATTTGAGTAGTCTTTAAAATGTTTTTGAGTGCTTGAATAAAATTAAGAAATGTGTTTAACTGCACTATTTTACTTTCAGTTTGCCTCTACTTCATATTTTTGATTCATTAGTTTCTTCCGATAGATATATTGAACTATTTAATAATTGGACTTGGTGAATTTTGCAGGTAAATAAAAGATCAGATTCTAATAATTCAATTGTTTTTACATCGTAAGTGCACATAATTTAAAGGCGGAATGTCTGATAGACCCTCGTACTTGTATGAGTTTGTATTCTGGACCATTCTACTTGATCATTTGAACCCTTAAACTTAGTGAAACTAAGCATTTTAAACCCCTTTCGCTGTGTGTGAACATCAAGCGCTTGCAAAAATAACATATCATCATCCACATCACATTTTAAATGACATATCACTTATTATTATTATTTTTAAAAAAAAATCTATATTTTCTTTCTTTTTCACTTAATTCCTCCTTCATCCATTCGCTTCTCTCCATTTTTTTTTACATTAGAGATAACATCACAACCTTCCATTCTCACTAGTATCATTACATTCCTAAATAACTAACAATTATCATTCAATTTATATTATTCGAAATTTCTTTCATTCACAACTTTTAATCGTATTTCTTTTACCAACATTTACATCTACCATTTGAACAACCATAAATCTCTTTTCGCCATTGATGTTAACGAATAGCCATTAAAATACATCAATATACTTTAATATTTCTACACAATTTTACATAACACATTTCACCTAATTTCACAAAGACATTCAACAATCACTTTTCATCTTTCAAGATTGTTGAATCTTGATCACTTTATGAGTTATAAATTACTCCAAAATAAAAAGAAAATACAAATCTACAACAACAATACAATTTCGTTTCTAACTCCAAGAGGAAGAAAATGTTAACAAAAGAAGAAGAAAGAGAAACAAGAAATTACAAAGGGATGGAAGCGGAGAAAGAAGAGAAATGGGGGTTTGAGAGTAGAAATGGGTTTAAGAGTAGAAAGAGAAAAAGAAATGGGGAGGGATGTGGTGGGAAAAGAAGAAAGAACTGAAAAAAAAAACTAATTTTCTTCTTTTTGATCTTTTTATTCTATTTTTAAAAAGAAAAAAATTACTTTTAGTCTAAAATTTGATCTTTCACGCTCCTTCTATGCGTGGCATCAAGCATTTGTGCCAACTCAATAATTAAGTTGCCACATAAGATTGGTCAACGGTCATAAGGGCATAAAACATACAGTTTTATTGAGTTTAAGGGTTCAGTTGACAAATAGTTAAGTAAAAGGGTCCAGAATACAAATGCATACAAGTAGAAGGGTCCTTCAGACCATTTCGCCTAATTTAAATTCAAACTTAAATTTGATCTACCTATTTTTCAGTATCAATCAAAGTAACTGTAACATCCGGCAATTTGAAATAACTATGAAGAGGCTTAGAATTGGAAATAGTCATTTTTTGGAAGGAATTCGAAATCTGGAAATTTGGTTAAGTATGGGAAAAAGTGAGTTTTTGGCCAACTTTGAGCAGTCATAAATCCTAGATCAGGATGATTTAGGCATATTTCCAGTTATATTTGCGAAGCTCGTGGAATGATCTTTCCAACGCCACCGATTTTGCTCGATTCCGAGTTTGTATGAGTGAGTTATGCCCTTTAGAAGTAGGGCAGTTGGCAGGGAAGTCCGTCCGGAAATTTTAAGGGTATTTTGGTCTTTTCCCTAGCCTTTTCTTTTGGATA